GATGTTAATAAGAGACCAGTAAGTTCCAAAGAACATAATGGCTTTTAATCCCTTAGACAGCGCTCCTAAAATAAAGAGCAGACTCATAGCTGGTAGTTGCTAAAAAGGAAAAACAAAAAACAGTTGGTACAGTGTTCAGAGTTTGGCAGACTGCCCATACTACAATCTAATCTACGAAGGTTGAAGTAGATACCAATACTTCTAAAGTCTCTGGCTTAAAGGATTTTTTTTTTTTTTTTTCTGCTAACGTTAAAAGCTTTAGAATGCTTGCATTCTCCACCAAAAAACTGTCCCGGAATTATCTTGATCAATCTATGCCTGTGATGGGAGGCAGTAGGCCCGTGGGCCCCATGGCTCCAAAAATGGGAAGGGTAAAAGGGAAAGGTAGGGAGATGGGTTCAAAAACAGAGCAGCAGCAACCATCTAAGGAGGAAAACTTAACTTTACTAAATATGATATTGGAATGCAAGGTAACACAATATAATATAATCTAATTGAAATTGAGGCTAATAAATCAAAGAAAATAAGAGAGAGAGAGTGTGTTCAAAACTGAAAAGCCTACTTGAAACTGGAGGTGTGCAGCAGCTTAGAAGCACACCCACACACACTGCCAGGCAGTGAGAGAGAGATCCAGTCAAAGAGCGAGATCCTGTGACTTCCTCCTGTGACTTATCTTCCTCTCTGACCGTGAAGTCCTCTGGGATATATAGTTGTTCTTCTCTTCTGAGAACCAGGTATCCGGAAAGTTGTCAGTCCACGGAACTGGATTATTAACTCTTTAATTACTGTACTTTACATGATGTTATGATGTGAAATACTGATAGCAAAATTACTAAACTATGACAACAAACAAAGTATGTCTACTGTAGACACTTATTAAAAAATGACTTTTGAAGTGTACATGTCCCACAATTTCTCTCCCATTTCCTGAGAAATACTAAAATCTTGCTCATCAACTAGCATAGACAGAACTCAATATTACAGTCCTTCCCTGAGAAAGGTAAGAAACTGAACAGAGATTCCAAGGCTGATCCTAGAATTCAAGTTTTCAAACTCAAAAATATCAAAAATATTATTAAAAATATTGTCAGATTAGTTCATTTTCAAATACAAAACTGATCTCAGCATTACAAGCTTACAAGTAAGAAGGAAATTAATCTTTACTCATATGAGTAAAGAAAAGCAACATCCAGGTAAACTTCATCAAGAACACATATATAAAAAAAATTTCAAAAAATGATATATTAAAAAAAAACTAAAGAAAATGTCCTTGTGTAGTAGCATGTTCTTGAAATCCCACTGATTAGCAACCCACATAGTTCTAAAGAGTATTCAAATAAAGACTGAAATCTGTAATCTATTTCTGTTACATCTATTTTTGATGCCTACAGGTTCAAAGAAGTTCAGAATAACACATGCAAATACTTCAATATAAAAAATGAAAATAATTATTTATAAAACAGTATTTAGGCTACTGCGTGACAAAGACACTGGGGGATTTGCAGAGGTCTACACAAGTCCACAAAAACTACCAGTTCTTTTTCAACAAAAATTAGTTTACAATTATACTGCCTCAGTGGAAAAACAAATTTATTTTTTTTGTTTGTGAAAACTTGATTAAGAATGACAAGTACCCAAGTGCTGTATGCTAGAGCAGTAAGAAACAGCTCCACCTAAGATAAAATGATAAAGAACCATCAATACTGTTCACTTTCATTATTAAATTCACTACTTTTTTTCTCCAATAAAATCTCAGATTTCTGCTATTTGTTTCCGTTTTCCTAATTTTGTTAATTTAAACTTATAAATCGCAATAAAATCTAAGCAGCGCAAGATTAAATCTGACCACAACATCTTCTGTTGCAACGTTAGAACAATACCGAATTACAGAAAAACATGTTGTGTCACTGAAGGTCTATGTTTCTTTATGTTACTTTGGGTATTAGTACAAAAGAGTTCCAAGTCAGTTGGAAAAGAAAAAAAAAACATGCCTTTGCTTTGTATTCTGTGATACCTCCTTGTTCAGGATTCCACATTAAAAAAAAAAAAAATACAGGGGACATAAGAAACTTCCCTTCAAAACAATTACTTTGAATCAAAATTTCTTGCACAACTTTTAGTGATCTTTTATGTTTATGAGACAACTAACACTTAGAACTGTGTCCATTGCATCTAAATAAGTAAATAAAACAAATCGGACAACAAAACAGCCAACAAAAATAGTAATCTTTCCTAGTTTGGGGATCTCTGCAGAGTAGATGGTCACCAACAAAAATGAACCTTCTAAGTTAGGCAAAATTGTGCCACACTGCTATCAGACACCTAAGTTAACTGGATAGCATTTTTGGAGTCCTTGTCTAGTTAATGAAGAGAGACTGTTTTCAGAGAGTTCTTTAGAAAGTAAGCCTATTTTAAATGCCTAAATTTGTACTAATACTTTTCAATGAGTTCTTTTTAAGAAATAGACTTGCTATGACTTGGTTGGCAAGTCAGTCATTTGCCTTCATGTTGTGGTAAGAAATAACATAACTCATTTATTTCAAATTGGAAAACCCATAAGAGAAAAATAACTACAACACTGGTAATAAGTAATGCTTGAAAGAGGCATTCTTGCTGTTTTACTGCTTTATAGACAGTAACTCTGAATTACTGACTCCCATTACATAAAATTTTCTGTAATTTAACCAAATGTGGCTTGCTACTATATTGCCATTTAACTACATATTAGAACACAACTTATTCACATACTTCACCACCTAGCTGGAAAAGAAAATACTTTCTTAAGTGTTTACCTTATTATCCAAAGAAATTTGGAAAAGTGTTCAGGGAAAAACCAATGTAGTCTGTTCCTGGTGTTTCAGGCTAGGAAAATCCATTTGCAGAACTGTTAAAAAAAAATACAATTATTTAAGCTAAGCATAGCGGAGGTATACCTAAGAATGCGCTCAGAAGGATCAACTAAGAAAAGAAAGAAATGAGAATCAGTAGGATGCTTGGTTTGTTCAGTAAAAGATGCAAAGAAGTACCTCCAAATGACAAGAAATCTCACTGAATGCTATTCTGATAAAGACCTCACTGGTCTGAACTGAAATTACAAAACTTGTTTAAGGTAGTAGCAAAGGAAAGAGCAAAGCTAGGCAAGGAATACCAGAACTAAGTAAAAACAAACAAACAAACCAACAAAAAAAAAGGAAAAAAAGAAAAAAATAAATCAAGTAATTTGATAGAGAAATACATAGGGCATCACTTTAGACTGCAACCAGAATACCATCAATTAGGCTGAATGGCATCTGATTACAGAATAGTTTTAACTGAAACAAGCTTTTGTTTTTTAAGTGACAGCAAAACAAACAATTTTGATCCAGGTGGTTTTCAATCATTTAAAATGACATAAAATGACAGTAGGAGGTAAAAGAAATGATAGCAAGTATTTTCCCAACACATTTTTCTGACGAATGTTTGGGTAAGGAAGGTGTTGAAAACATATTCCCCCTACAGGTAGACCAAGTTGCAGGCAATTATTAAGAAATGAATCTAGCATGGATCTGTTAGCATGCTGAATTCAAAACAAGCAAGCAAATATGGAATAATAAATTTTAAATTAGATGATAAAGAATTTTCAGAGGCTTCACAGTAAGCATCTATATAAAGCATACACAAGTGCTTATCATTACCTTATGCTAAGATTTACTGCCACTGAAAAGCCATGGTTGAGCAGTAGAAAAAGCATACAACACAACAACTTTAAGATAGCATGCACAGTTGTTTCCCATGCTGTACCTTTTTTGCATGAGAACATACTAAAAAATTCCACCTTCTGGACTGACAATTTGGCAGTCTTCAAATGCATTAAATTATTAACAAAGAAAAGTAGAAAAGCTTGTATTTAACTCAGTGAACTGGAAGAGCTCATTGTATAAAAAAGTTCTTAAAATATTTTATTTTGCCTTAAATTCAGTGTAAAAGGAAACCAATTTCTCAAATGCAGTTCATTAAGGCAAGATTTTGAACTTACTGTAACAAGCACGGCAGTCAAGTGTGGTATTTCAATGTGAAACTAAGTCTGTACAAAAAAAATTAAGTGCATATTTTTGTAGGAAGATATGCTTACACATAGGAACATAAAAAGAAACAGGATTAGGGCCTCAGAAACCCTCCAACATCTAAAAAGTGTGGAATAAAACCTCTACAGTGAGACCTCTTCTCTCTGGCATTCTATTTCTAATTACCTCTGTTCCTATTATGGAATTAAAAAAAAAAAAAGGGGGGGGAGGAGGAGGTGCAGCTCTCCCTCACCTCCCCTCCAAAACACAGAAAACAAGGACTAAAGAAAATAGACTGAGATGCTATTTCCTGCATTTCTATGTCAGATAAGTTTTTACATTGTACTCATGAATGAGTTGATGGAAATAAAAAAGAACTAGTGTTTAACAAATGCTTTTTCTTTAGCAAATGCAGCAGCAGAATGGCACCAAAAGGAAAAAGAAAGTCTACTACTGCAAAAAGCTAGTGAGTTCCCCTTCCTAAGGGAAGGAGAAGCTTCAGATTCTGAACAACACAATGCCCTTTTGCAGCCAATTAAGTATTTCTACAGTGTACATTTCATGTATGTACATTTTCACATGACAAAAATACACTCTAGTGTGAACTTGCTATCTGCCAAATACTACTTATGAAAAACATCATGATAGAACTACAGAGAGATTAAAAAAAAAAAGTATTAGTGTGTGTGATCAAAGTTTTTAGAATCATAGCTACCAAATATCCCACTTCTCACACTGTTACCATCCTAAAGTGCCTAAGAAGTAGTGCACATGTTTTTGTGGGACTAAATTTTCTTCTGCAGTTGTACAGTGTAGGATAAATTCCTTACCATTGAATTGTTATTCTACTTAAAGTTTGACTTAAAACAGCTTTAAAATTCAGAAGATACTCAAAACCTTGTATGTGACAGAGTACATCTGTGAGTTAAATTAAATGAAACTTCATTATTTTGAGATTTTTCTTTTATATTCAACACTATTTTAATGTGAAAGTGATTAGAGCTCTTTTTGTGAGAATGGGGGTGGGGTTGCCATTTGAAATGGTCTTTTTTCTTTTCTTTTTTTTTTTTCTTTTCTTTTCTTTTTTTTTTTTCCATTATGAAGGACCATTGCCTTATCTTTTTTGGTTATTGCTTTTTTTTTTCTTTTTCTTTTTTTTTTTTTTTTTGAAGACCATTCCATTTATTTATTTTTTAACATCTTAAAGTCATAAGGACTTATATGCAAAGCAGTCATACACTTTATCATTAAAACCCATAGGTAAAATACGTACACAAATCCAACAAAAGGCTAGTACATAGTAAAGCCTAAGCATACTACTATGCAATATTATGAATACATAACTTTAGAGACTTCAGTTTAGTACTGTTATCTATTCATTTCTGAAAACATTCACAAAGATTTTAAATGCAAATTTTCATTCCGTATCTGGAATAGAACAAAAATTATCTATGTTATAACAACTTCTGGTCATTTGTGCTTGACCAATTCAGTAAATTACAAAGAACCCAAAGAATTCTGTAACTTTCTGTAGAACTATGTAATAAAAACATTGCATATGTTCCTAGTATGATGTCTTTAGCAACCATTTACTGAAATGTAATTCAAACATCAATCTCTCAAAACGTGTAACTGATCAGCTTCTTTTTAGTCTATATCCGAATTCAACTTCATCACAAAACCCCTTTTAATACAAAGATGCAGAAGTACATTAGGTAATACTAATGCAACACAGGTGCAGTTCTAGCACTGTCATCGGTCAGTTGAATCATCTTCTCCATGAACGAGATTCATTATCCTCCTCCTCTTCGTCATCATCTTGAAGAAGAGAGTCATCCACCAAAGATTCTTCCTGAAACTTCAAGAGATAAATGTGATAGTCTGTGTTATGTCACAAAATGTAAGAGACTGAAAGACAAAATACAATCCAGATCCATAAAAGTTAAGGAACATACAAGTTTATTTTTCATAGGTAAATAGTAAAATAGTAATGCTTTCAAAAAGTATTTCAAAAAGTGTGTATAAAATATACACATAATTAATAAATGGTAAATGCAGCTGCTTTTTTTTTTTTTCTTTTAATGAGCTTTTATAGTTCAACAGATCTTCTGATTCTTCAAGCATGTCCTCATGCCCAATCTTTAACATTTTGATGAAATTTAGGATACTACACTGAAAATTAAAGTTAGCTTTTCCAAGTTTATATTAACTATGCCTCTTTTAATCTAAGTGCTTAAACTACCTCACTATCAAAAACATTTAATGAGATACTTTAATTAAGCTTAAATCCAGCATGCTCAATATAATAAAGATTTTAAAGTGTATTTAGATGAATTTAGAAAAAACAAATGTTTTCAAATACGTTCAAATGACGACACGTATCTTGACAGAATACACAAAACACTCTTCAAGTTAGGGGCTTCAGTTAAAAGTTAAAGCAAAGAAATAAAGAAGATAGACAATGAGTTGTTTTATTTTTGCCTACATACATAGAGGTGTATTTATAAACTTTTCCTTATCTCAGAACTTTTTTTGATGATTGCACTTCTCACTGCAATTTCTGCACTGAAGAAAGGACAATCTCAAGATCTCTTTTCCTAATGAAGTCTCACAGATATTCAATTACATGTCTGTTCTTTCTTGCTTGTTTTTCTTGTTCCAGTAATTCTAGTTTTAGCTACAGAATTTCCAAATTCAGCAAGAGGAGTGAAGGTTAATTTGTGAGGTTAGTGAAACTCTAGAAAAATACAAGGCTGTAGGCTGAGGAATGCCTAGAAGTATTTATATATATTCGCTTTCTTCAGTAAGCTCTTTTACAAGAGAGGAGAACTACTATCTTCCTTCATTACTTCTACCTACAGAAAGCAACTCTGTTAATATCTTGCCTATCAATACATGTTGAGTACTATGAACTAGACTAAGATGCAGCAGCCTTCAAACAACTCAGTCTTTTCCCCTAGTGTCTAGATGCTGAGTAGATAAAATATGATAGGACTGCTACAAAGGAGTTCTGTACAGTGCAAATACAAAAATATCCTGTGCACAAGGCTAAGTGGCAGCAGCGATGATCATAAAACCCTTAACAATTTCCTTACAGCGAACACATAGGGTCTACAGATCTCTGGACTGGAGAAAATGTGACTAAGGGGAAGTATCATAGAAAGCATCTTAGAGAAAGTGCAGAAATATATATTTTATTCTTGGTATTCACATTTAAACAATAGTATTCCCCATCATAGGACACTATAGATGCTAAGTTCACTCACATTCCAATGAAACCTATCAAATTAAGAAACAAAAACCTAGAATGGGCTATCAACTACAAAAACATCATACCTGACTCAACAGGTCCCTGAACTGCAAACCAGTGATAATTAAATGCTTATCTACCTATGACTCTCAGTATTCTTCCTAGGCACTGGCTGTTGATTCAGTATAGTCAACTTTTTGTTAGGCACTCAGATGCAGAAAGTAAGGCATCTACTAAATTAAGTGTTTTCATAACGAAATGGCTAATTACCAGGGATTTTCAATAGCATGCAAGTCCAAAGCCTCACAACTTTATAGACTAAAAGCCCTATTTCAGTACTATTTAAGAACATCAGCATGCTAAATAGTCTACTTCCCTCATCCCTTACAGAACTATCCCTTCTCCGCCTCCAAAACAGCAAATAAAAAAATAAAATAAAATAAAAATAATAATAAAAAAATACACAAAAAACAACAACAAAACAAACATCAAGGAAATTCTTCATTTCAGTCTTAAGTCTCTTTAGCATTTTAGGTAAATTGACAGAATTTACATATGGAAAAAAGATGGAAGGCTTCAAGTTTATATAGTATCAGCTATAAAACAAAGTAATATGAACAGCATGACCAACTGAAAGCACAGTGAATCTTGAGATATTTTACACATTTAAGATTGAAATTCAGGCTGGTGACTAGAGGTATCTCCACCACCCTGATCTCATCCTGCATAAGACGAATTTTAAGCAATGAAATAATATAGAATTTTTATTTATGTATGTATTTATAAATCAGCGAATTAATTTGAAGTTCTTAAACATGTTCATCCAGGACCTAGAGATTCTAACATTATACTTCAATATTAACTTAAACAAATGCTGCAAGCAATACACACCTCACACAAAGAATAACATTTAAATGCAAAATTTCTCAAGAATTGTTGAAAGGAAATTGATTATATTAAGACATTTTTGTGAATGTCATTAATTCAGCTGAAGATAATTCAAATAAAATCCTACCCATGGTTTGGACAAAATCTTCATTATTTCCTATGTAAGTTCAAACACACCCCTATTTTATTTTCTAGATGTACACACTAGAAATGAAACATGCCTGCAATGAAAAGTCAAGTATTTAGACTGTTAATAACCTAGAAAAGATTATTTTCTTAAATAAATTAATCCACTTCCTGATACTAAAAGTGAGTCAGATTTAAGTGGTATGAATCAATAGATCATTTTCATTTAAAAAATAAAACCATTTCATTTTAAGAAATAAATACGAGACAAAAAAAGCAAGCTTACTTCTTCTTCATCAGGCTCAGCTTCTTCTGTTTCAACAGCTGACATACTAGCAACAGGCTTGTTCCATGCCAACTTTAACTCCTGTCCTTTAAACCGAGACCCATGGATTGCAGCCTAAAACAAATTTAGTCTTAGTTAAAAACGTCTTTGTTAGGAGAAAAAATAACTTCAGTAATACTTAAATGCCAGAAACAAGCCAAAAGTCTGCTTTTTCTAAAGAAAAAAAAGTTTTAATATGTTAATATTAAATTACTGTTAACTGTCAAAAACAAAACTTTATTAACTACACATGGAATTCACACATCCTTTCAGGAAAATGATCAAAACATATTCAAACAAAATAAGCACTGAAAAATCATTAATCACTTGGTGATGCAACATACTGAACTTAATACTTTCCTCTGCTTTTAATACTACACTGATGGGTACTTTGCCTTTTGAAGACTGACACAAACGTATTAACACATTACTTACTAGAAGAAACAAGCCATCCCACAAATACAAATAATTAAATATTAAAGGAAAAAAATAAACCTTTGTGATTACAACTTAATCTACTGGAAATGTTTCACTTCTTGTATAGCCCTTGTAATTGAAATATAAAAATTTTTAACTTATGGGATATTCATGCCTTTCTATGTACCAGATCCTTTAAGTGGCTGCTTTGGAAATAGTATGTTCAAATTAAAGTAACATGAACTAGCATAAATCAGTGTTAGCAACATTCCGAAATAACCGTCATAGTCACAAAAGATTTATAGTGCAATCTGAAAGCACAGCATAATGTGAAATGTAGAAACAATTACATGTTCAATGACATCTGAACATGAATTGTGTGATATTAAAGTCCCCAGGTATAAATTTTAAATCTGTACATATAAATTTATGATAAATTTAAAAGATTCTATGCCTATTAAAATGCAGCTCTGGAGCTTTTTGTCCATAGTCTCATCACAATATCATATAACTAGAATTTTTAAAAGCACTTATACGTGACTTTTAGATCAAGAAACAACTTGTAATCTTTGGAAGAAATTACTTCTACATAAAATTCAACATTTTACAACAGGGAATCCTCCTCTTCCTTTCAGACTAGAAGAGATACAGTCATAAAGCTTAAGCGTTTTTTCATTTAAGAAAGTAAAATATTAGCAGCATTTACTCCAAAATTGGCCTCAGTAGATGTTTTTTAATGATTACATTTTGTATCTACAATTTCTTCAATTACCAGCCTTACAGTCTGCTTTACTAATAAACACAAAAATTTCAGTGGAATTATATTTAGTATACAAGAATATCTTATGAAAAAAAAGTGAGACTTTACTGTATTTGATCTACTACATTTTTTATAAGATTTTAGTTTAAAAATAAACATGTAATGAGACACAGATGAAAATGAAGTTTTAATGCAAACTGGACAGTGGACATATCACATACAGATAATGACTTATAATCCAATCCAAATCTTTCACTTTTCACAGAACCTTCCAAAGTTCACCTCAAACACATCTTCACCTTGAATACTTAGAATTTTTCTAAAGCGGTGAAATATATCATGGAAAAACAAGCATACAGAATATTAACTTTAATTGTTCTATCGACCATGCCTCCCATTTACTAACCATGTCTCCCTTCTCCCTTGCCAATACCTTTCTGCATTCTCTGCACTGTTTTCTTTCTTCATTTCACATATATTGACTTCTGAGTTTGCTTCCAAATTATTACTGAACTTTGACTTTTGGGTACAAAAGAGTCATGCTATGTTTCAGTTATGACTGAAATGACTCTGCATGCCAATTTTTCCAAAGAAGTTGTAGAAGTAAAACCTGTATTTTGCTAATAAACAGGTATCTGTTATGTTCTGTTAAATCTGTTAACCTTTTTGTGGTAAATCATACTCTGTATAGGAGTAGAGATGTTATCTGGACAGTCCATAAAAAAAGATGATTGTTATTTGTTATATAAACTACAACTGTAACATTAAATAATATGTAGGCACAAAATCAAATATCCCATGTTAGAAAGCATCAAAATAAAAAATTCCAACCATAACTGAATCCATTCTAGAGTATAGTAATTATTACAGCTTTTATTTGTGAACTCTTTAGTTTACTATTTAAATTCCTTCAATACAGACACACAGTTCTACTGCTTTATCCTTGCCAGTCATTATGTACCACGTATCATTACTTACACTTCCTTTTTTACAGAATAATTTAGTCTCCATACAGTCAGAGCTCCATATTGTTGCATTTGAATGTTTTACGCTCAATACTTCTGTTTCTTTAAAACACCTTTGGCATGTGAATCAAATTATTTCTCAAAGTATCTAACTATTATGATGTTGTGAGCAATCAGAACTACTGCTCTTACTGGCTTCATTTCCATTGTAAATACTGTCAATCAGGTTATTTATGTCTTTCAAAATAAGGAATACAGAAACAATAGAATCTGGTCAGATATGAAAATTCTGTTCAAATAACCTCCAAAAGATGAACTTTGTGCAAAGATATTATCTTCAAAATATAACTATGAAATCAAATCTTTCTATATAATCATACCATATATATTAATCTTCTCTTTTTTTTTTCCCTGGAAACTCTATTACTTTCAGGATACTCCTTCCCAACAGTGATGGAAGGATTTTAAAGAAAACAAAATAATCTGCAGTACAACTACGTTCATTATTTTGTGCAGATTCATATACTGCTTGCACTATTAACTAAGTAAGGCAAGAATCCTGTTCATCCAGAAATACAGTCCTCATAATCTAAAGGATGATGAATTACAACATACCTCAACGTTGAGTCTTAGAACTCTCTAAGAATTACTTCTATAATTCTATACTTCTGTAACTTCATAAAGAAATATGCTTTGGGGGAAAAAAATCTCATTGAATAAAATTATTTACATTATCATTGATTTCCAGGCAAAGCTAAATATAAATGATCACCCAACCAAATATATAGACTCAGTCTTAGGCTGTCAGTTAAACTACAGAAGACTGAGTCCTTAAGGTGAAAATAACTGGCAATTAAATAAGGATATCTACCTATGAATATCTATATGACTGTTTTGATTTCCCTCTTACATAAAGTATAACCCTTTCTTATAAATATCCTTATATCATAAGAGATTCAGTAATCATAGAATCACAGAATCACCAAGGTTGGAAAAGACCTCTGAGATCATCATCCAGTTCAACTGTCCACCTATAACCAGTATTTCCCAAGTAAACCATGTCCCTTAGCACAACATCCAAACATTTCTTGAACACCTCCAGGGATGGTGATTCAACAGCCCATTCCTGGAAATGGCCACCAGAAACAGACGTGACTCTCCAGTTGCTCCATGTCATGTCTCTCTGGCATCACTGCCTGAAAAGTCCCCTCCCCAGACCACAGGCAAGGTCACTCTGCCTGTGTCACTTTTGACAGAATTGTTCAATCTAGAATTAGACTTCTGTACTAGAATTCTTGAAAATGTTTCTGAGTAATTATTGCATTACATTTAATCAAATATTAGAATATATTGCAGCTGAATGCTGCCAAATATTTTCAACGAAACTATACTCACAGCTTCAGCTTCTGCTCTTGTTTTAAAGGTAATCACTGCATGGAGTGAAGAGTCATCTATCTGGCAATCTTCAATTTCACCGTATTGCTTTTAATATGAAAAAAAAGAAAGAAAGAAAAAAAAGCTTAGTAAAACAGCCTTCCTCCTCTACCCTTCCCCTCTAAAAATAATGTCCTAAATGAAATGCTCAAAAAGCATATAAAGTTAGAACAGTGCACCCTTTCACAGTCCTAATGCAAATCAGAGTTCTTTGCAAGGAAGTGTTATTTCTCTTCGCATTTTTAAAACACAAAGTACCACAGTTTACATTTCCTAATTGTAAACATATGAAGTATGAAGTAAAATTATGGCAGAAAAGAGAGGTTCTTCTGCTTCAATACTTCTCTCCTGATTAGCAAGAGGAGATCTTGAGATTATTCCATTAGTTTATTATGAAACACTTCTACAAAAAGATGAGATACTGGTCAGGTAACCAAAGTTTCCAACTTAGCTTGATTTCAGCATCTTAACTTCCAGCCCAATAAACTCTTCGAATGGTTTCTAAGGTGTTTTAATGCTGCCAAGAGCGTAAGCTCCAATACCCAACATATTTGTACAGGTGGAGTGCACTGCTGAAGTACAAAGGACATGTGAAAACATAGAAGCAAAGGTCTTCTGGCAGACTCAATCATAATACAAGGCTGTGGATTAAAAATAAGTTTATTCTTTTAAATCTTCACTGAGACTGGATTACAAATGTCTTATGGTTGACCAAGTAGATTGTTGTTGTTGATCAACAATAACAAAAAAACCCTAAACTTAGACAGATTAATATAAGAAACCTTTGGATGCCCTGCTGAAATTTGTCAGTAAATACATAGTGCTAATCTTGATTTTCCAAATCAGAATGGCAGAAACACTGAAAATTTTCAGGTCACCTTGAAACTCCTCTCAATAAATGCCACCAGATCCTGACAAATTGTCTGATGTTTCAGTTAAAAACAGTTGAAATCTCAGTGTAATTTCTGTTTCACCTTTTTCTGACTTTTTTTTTCCTATAAATCATGAACAGGTATATCATGTTATAGAGTTATTCCTGAATAATATTTCCAGATGAATTGAATCAAGTATAAACAAGACATTGGATAGAAGAATGCCATCCCATGAACAGAAAAAGAGAAATTACAACATACCGCAAAATGAGGAAGAAGGTCTTCTCTATCACTTTCTGTAAACGCAGAAATTTCTAATGCCCTTGGTCGATGATCCACAACAGCATGTACGGGAACTCCTCTGCCTCGACCCCGTCCACGTATTCCTCTACCTCTGCTACGTGATGCACCTCGACCTCTTGCATGGACCCCTCTACCACGAACTGAAGAAAGAATTCCTCGTTTGGCAGCCTAAGATTTACACACATTGATTTATTAAAATTCACGATCCAAGTATTTAGACAAAATTAACAAACACATATTCTGACATTTCGTAAAAAACCCCATCCTCCCTAAAAAAGACTTAGAGCAACTTTAAGATCTTAATATATGTTAAAATTAATGAAAATAGTACTGGAACAGAAAAAAAAGTCAAAAGAGCACTCATATGTGAGAATTCCTTTTCTCAGGAGAAACTGGAATATAACATTAGAAATTTGTTAATGAAATTTTCTCATTGTGACGACTAACAGTTTTCTCCTAATTCACAGACAGGATATTTAGTCTGAAAGGAAAATATGGAGCATAGTAACATTTGGCCACAGTACCATAAGTTGTGCAACAGAGGTTCTACTACGCATATCCAAGGACAAATTGTTCTCTAAAAATTTGGTTCTACATAGTCACTAATTTCCAATCCCACACCTGCGTTTCCAACTCACAGAACAGACACGCATTCTCTTGAAATCAAAAGGCTCTCCAATAGACATTAAAAAATAAAAAATAAAAACCACCCACAAAACATTTCAAGGATTGAATTTGAGCATGTATAGCAGGCATTAAAAAAAACCACCAGATCTTTACAAAAGAAATTGCCCAATTTATGAAAACAAAATCACAGTAACAATGTTTTTAATGTATCCTACTGTGTTTACCATGTCAGCACTGCTAACACTACTTGACTGCATACCAATGATCTCCATCCACAAGGAAACCAATTTATTACTGCTGTATTAATGAAATCATTCAGGACACCTATGAAATATCATTCACCATCAGAATAATTATTTTAAGTGTTTGTTATTGAATCATTTCAGTTCAACAGACTTGGCTTATTAAACAAACCTATTTTCATGATCAGCAAAGCTGCACAACAACTTGAAGTAAGACTTTAATGCACACTAGCTGCATGTACATGCACTGTGTCTGCATGTAGTCATACATAAAATACAACCAAGCTTCATTAAGAGAGATTTATTTAAGCAACACACCACTCTGCTTTAGAGTAGAAAAAAATTATTATTATCCAATTAAGCAGCTACTACACATACAGGCAAAACAGTATCCATCCAATACTATTCATAATCTCTTAAACTAAGACACAAATAATCTAGTGCAGCCTTCTTTAATTTTTTAAGAAGCAAGTTCTTCAACAAAAATATGTTTCTGTACACTGAATGCTTAGGACACACTGTATCTGATTTTGAAGAGTCCACCTTCTCTCAAGAGTAATGCTGTGTTTACATTACTTTTTGGCACTATGGCCTCTTTGGTTAATATCATTGAGAGGAAGTTGACATTACAAAAGAAAAACAAACCATCAGGCTGTGTTTTTTATTCCTTTGTAATTCAACACAGTACCAACTATAGACAACAATTTAAAAACAGTCTAATGTCCACAAGGACATATTACTACCATAAATCTGTAAAATACCACATCATCTAAAGTTTCAGAATTTACTTAATTAGCAATAAAAATTAACGCTGATGCTTTTTCTCTACTGAAGCAGAACCCAGAAACTTTTTTTTTTTTTAATATTATTGCTACCTGCCTCCATCTATGATAAGAAACACTGCACTGAATGATACAATTCACAAGTCAGCAAAAATGTAGGAAAATATTTCATTGAAAGACAGAAACAAAAGATGAGAGAAACATACTTCCAGCTGCAGCTCTGTGTATTTCCGTCTTAATTCAGTAACTTCCTCCCCAGCTTGCATCTTCTTGTATAAATCCAGTTCAGTATCTAGTAACTCTTTCTGCATCTAAGAAATTGTCACAGCAAATTATTAGTTGCACAATTTACATTCTCTAGTGAGGAAACAATTTTCTGATGAAACCTAAGAATCTAGTGCTATGCTCCTATTGGCAGGCTATTTCAGAAATATAGTGACTTAAAGATTGGCCAGGACTGGCCTCCAGATAAGCAAAGTCTGTTTTCCAGGTAGAAGTGTGGTGACAAATTCCCAGAAACTCTACGAAAAGCAAATTTTAAAACTAGAGGGTGTAATGAAATTTTAAACTTAGCCAAGTTGTGGCTTATTGATTTAGACCACAGCTGTAACTTTGGAGGTAAATTACTTACAACACTAGGAATCCACTTTAAAAAATAAACCCAGTGCAAGCTTAGGAGCCTTAAAGAGGCAAGATAAAACCTCAGTGTGTAGCAGCATGTTTTTGCACTTGGTGATGTCAAAGCTTTTAGTACATCAAGCCAAGCCAAAAGAATTTGTTCTAAACTAGAGATACACAAGATAGAAAATGCCAAATTATACAATAACAATGAAGTGATAAAAAGGGACTCGACAGGAAAAAAAAAAGCATTGTTATGAATGAATACACAATCTACACTCAGTAATGAGAAGCTTTTAAGATTATCACAATTCCATAATGAAAAAGCACAAATGGTAATTCTGTTCAAACCGTAATAGAAAAAAAAAAAGAAACCACCACCATAGTAACAGCAGCTCTGGTAACAAAAGGTTGATCTCTGATGCACCTATAGATGTCCTTCAGCACACAGTACCTTAAAAATGATGAGGAAATTCAAAAATATGTATCAAACTGATAGGTGTCTCTGAATCCAAATTTATACACATTCACTGTAAGTACAGAGGTGCAGGTGTTGGTACAGATGCAGAAAAAAGCTTTATGAGACTATGAAAATCTTATTTGAAGTTTTGTTCCAAATTGGAAATTTGTTTTGTTTTTAATGGAAAAAGCAGCAATCAAATGTTCTAATGACATCACAAATGAAGAAGAAAATTATAAATGACTATGAAATAGTTTTACATTTACACTCGTTGATTCAAAACCACAGCATGTAATGTATTCAAAGGCTGGTTGTCAAGAGATGAAGGTTTCGCAGTTGTGACTGTTGGAAACCAAGTATCACCACTGAATGATAAAGATGGGATTTTTTTTGTATGTTTCTTTGTTTTTTTTTTTTTTCCTGGAAGCTTTAAAAGAAAAAAAGCTGGATTATTCAACTGGCAACTTCAGTCTGAACCCCATTCAGCCCCATTTTCTGATTATCTACAGCAACCATAAAAATTAATCTCCTATATTATGATTTTCACAGTTTTTCAGAATTGCAAACTGTTTCTCAAATCCCACAGTGTTGTAATGGTATTGTAATGCACCAAAGATGCGACAAAATAACCACTTTTGAAGTTTAAAAATGACCAGAAGTTAGAACTCACAAAGCAGTCTGTAACTCTGGTGTCAGAAAGTCTCTAGACTTTGGAGTTTATTTCTAGAGCTCTTAATGAAGATTTGCCTTTTTACAGAGCTGTGCTTGACCTCAATAAGGAAATGCCTCCTTCAAGATGTACCAGGAGGCAGCAAAGCTTTCTACACTCATGGGGAAGGGTGTTTTATAATCTGCATGATCTGGAACAAGACAAAAATAAGTGAAAACTACAATCACATGAGGACCAGGTTGACAAAAAAATTAGGAATGTGGACTGCAGAGGTCTCAAAATCAACATGAAGAGTTGAAGACGGACAACCTCAAGCATGCACATACCAATATAAACAAGGGAGTACCTATGGAACAGTAACAAAGGGGAAGATCTAATTTCTTTTCTGGGAAATCAGCGCCTTTCTGAAAAGCCTGTAAACTAATAAAACGTTATCGGAAGCAAAGTGGAGGAATTAGATGTCTGTGCAGTTTCAAGACGACAATCTAACAGAATGGTTTTGGTGGGAGGGGATCTTGAAGATCATCTTGTTACAACTCTCCACCGTACAGTGATTCACATAACTGGAGTGCTGCAGTGGACAGATGCAGTCTTTTTAGGAAAGCCAAGTAAAGATGATGAGAAGGAGAAGTTGTCCTTTGTGTGAGAGAGCTGTGTGAAAGCACGTAGCTATGCCTAGGGCCAGACAATGAGTTATTTTCAAGTTTATGAGTTTAAACTCTATGTCCCCCAAGTAGCAAAACATGCGGGAAATAATTGGCAGGAGGCCTGCATGAATGAATAAAGAGCTCCTAACAAAATTCAAATCTAAAAACAAAGTGCAGGAGAGGTGACCACGCAGAAGCATTACAGATTGCCTGCCTGAGCATGTAGGTACCTAGTTTGGAAAGCCAAAGCCCTCCTCAAGTGGAATAATCTGGCAAGGTGGTAAGGAACAAGAAAAATTTATGTAGGTGTATTAGCAGCAAAAATGAAGACTTTGTTATGAAAAATAAAGGCCTGCTGGTCAATGTAGAAAGTGACCTAGCAACAAATGAAATGGGAAGAGCCGATGCCTTTTTCTCCTCGGCCTCTACTTGCAACACTTGCCTTCAGCAATCCCAGGTCCTGAGACAGGTAGAAAAGTCTGGAGCAAGGAAGACTTACCTTTGTTAGTAGAGATTCAAGTTAGGCAACATTTAAGCAAACTGGACGTACTCAAGTCCCTGGGACCTGATAGGATACAACCATAAGCACTGAGGGAGCTTTCTGATGTCTCTGCAAGGCCAATCTCAATTATCTTTGAAAGGTCATGACATTTGGGGATGTTCCTCAGAACTGAGAATAACCAAATGTCACTCTGACCTTCAAGAAGGGTAAAGAAGATCTGGGGGAGTACATGACGGTCAGCCTTGTCACAAATCCCTGAGCAGGTAATGGAGCAATACTTTTACAAGCATGCTAAGAACAAGAAGGAGACTGGTGACAGAGAATCAAAAGCAGATCTGAAAATATTGCCAATTCCTAGAACTTCTGTAGTTCAAATTCACTATACAGGAAGTTAACTTCTTTTATCTAAGATCTCTAAGAAACATTTTCTCACTGGACAGCGCCAATTCACTCTCAAGCATCAGAAAAGTCTTTCTGTCACCTTCAAAGAACAGGAATTTAATCTTCTTATAGCAGATTTCAAAGTTTGGAGTTAATACCTCTTGTTCCCGCTCTAAAACAGTCACTCCACTAAAGCTGTAATTATTTTAAGAGAAAGTCAACTTCAAGAAATCATAGTGTATGGCCCATTTTCAGGATAAAAATTCACTGCTTCAATTTTTTTGCTGACTGACCAATGAGGTAAGAAGCTACAGTGAAGTGAGTATGTACAGGTCATTCCAGTATTTCTTTTAGTACTTTTTTTTTTTTCCACATCTGCACATCACTGTAATGTATACTGCAACTACTTCTAATACCCCTATTTTTACGTAAAATGAAACACCATTTCTTCTACCTCAAACTGAAAACTTATAAATCATTTAAATTAAATCTGGGTTTTAATGTTGCACTAGCTTTTTAAAATAGAATCCAAAACTTTACAAGAGATGATTAAGCATTCTGAAAATTTAAGAACTGAATGAAAGCTTAAAGTTTAAGTGCTTTTCTGTTCTGCATTCTGTATTTTCTGGAAAACACACTATAGAAAAATCTGTCCTTTTATTATCACATACTTCATCATTTTGTTAGCTTTGAAAAATTCAATTGTATGCTTTTTACAGAAGTATTTGCTCCTGAAAATGTCACCTTCAGACTCAAATTGGTTCACTTGGTGCAGACAAACCTGTCATGGTTTTATGATTTTTGTTATCGGTATTCCACATCACAACATCATGTAGACCACTGGAGTTAAAGAGTTAATGCTCCATTTCTATGGACTGCCTATAGTTTCCAGGTACCTTTCTCTAAAGAGAAAAACTATTAATCCCAGAAGACTTCACTGTTCCTTTTCTGCTTAGAGGGAAAGATAAAACTGCTCGGGACTCACTAGACTGTCCTTTCTTTCTCTGCTTGCCTCTACAGTGTATGTTCCCTAGCCATCTCAGCTTCAGCATGAGAATAAGGCTTTTGTTTTTGGATACTCTCTCCTTTATTTAATTTATTAGCTCCATTACTAATTATATTGTATAATACTGTGTTATCTAGCATTTTATTATAATATTTAGTAATTAGTTTTCTCCCTTAGTTCATTGTCCCTGTTTGGTTTCCACCCCCCATTTCCCCCTCTCTTGAGCCATGGGTCTGTGGGTCCCCCCACCCCATTTAGTCACGGAACCAGGCCAAACCAGGCTCAAACCTTTTGACATATTTACAATTTAATTTTTCAAATTTTTCAAAGCTAACAAAATTGCACTTTAAAGCAATGAGCAGAAAGTACAGCAGGTAAGAGAAACTCCTCTTGCAGATTCAACTCAAAATACTGATACCCAAATCAAAGGAAAACCTACTGTATAATCTTATTTCTGAAAAATTCAATTGTTTCAATTTCAGTTACACAAAAAGAGCAAGAAAACATGAACATATACACCAGTTTACTAAGGAACTAGCTCCACTAAAGAAGTTAGTTTAGGTATTACATGTGACCAGTGGACATCTGTGTTGCATAACGATTATCTTTTAGCACTAGAAACAGTGTTTTCATTATTTCTGTTAACAACCATTACAAAAGCAACTGTCTATTACGAAAGCAACAGACTATACACAAAAAACTGAATAAGGCAAATGACAATCAGATTTCTATTTTGCTATCTTCAAAATAACACGATGTATCACTGGCTCAAACTTTTAGACAATAGCACAGTTTTTACATTAACTATGTTCTTTTAAATAGAGGGCAAAACCAATCTCTCTTCACAGAAGATTTCAAGATTGAAATAGCATATTTCTAAGCACTTCTGATATAGCTGTATATTTTCATTATACTGACATAAGCATGTAAATTCATCTTATTAGAAAGCTGATCAAAACATGAGTACCTGAGTCTTAGTTTTCATGCTTTTTAGAGGAGTCCCTCCTCCTGATGATACACCTTTTAATTCATCTTTTAACTTGGTAATGCTATTAGTTAGAATCTCCAGTGTTTTCATGATTTCTGCTTTGTCTTCTGACTTCATGGCTTTATTTTTCTCAAGCTTTGAAATCAGCATCTGTCCAATTTAAACAAAGAAAACAACATTACAATTTCCATTATATATCTGTTTCCAAGTAACTACTACAACTAATGGAAAAAGAGAGTACTGTATTTCTGCTATCATAGAATCAGAAGGGTTGGAAAGGACCTCTGGAGATCGAGTCCAACCCCCTGCTAAAAGCAGGTTCCTTACAGCTGGTTGAGCAGGAAAGCATCAAGACAGGTCTTGAGTATCTGCAAAGAAGAATACACCTCTCCAGGCAATGTGTTCCTGTGCTCTGTCAGCCTCACAGCAATTAAGTTCTTTTGTATGTTTGCATGGAACTTCTCGTGTTTCAGTTTTTGCCTGTTGTCCCTTGTCCTGTCACCAGGGACCACTGAAAAGAGCCTGGCCACAACCATTTAACGCCCACATTTTAGATAATTAATAACATCAATATGACCACCTCTCAGCCTTCTCCAGGTTGAACTGACCTAGATGTCTATCCCTTTCCTAATACAGCAGATCTCCTTATTTCTATTAGTGGACCTCTGCTGATCTCTTTCTAGACGATCCTTATCCTTTTGAACAGAGAGGCTCAGAACTGGACAAAGTGTTCCAGATGTGCCTCCACCAGCGCAGAGCACAGGGGGAAGATAATGTCCCTCAACCTGCTAGCCATGCTATGATCTGCAAAACTCAGTAAAGAAGGCTTTTAACATTTTATATTCAGATATTTCATCTTTGATTAATGGATTTTCTAATGAACATTTGGGGTTTCCATTTTGATTGCTCAAGATACTGAAATTATTTCTATCTGAAAAACATTCTAAACGATGTTTTTGCTTTTTTCCCCCTCCCAAGCTTGTGTGCAGTCCATGTACACTATTCTATACCAACTTGTGCACTTGCAAAGTATAGATTTCTCTCTCACTTCTCCCAAAGAAGTGCATATTTTGCACCCAAACCAGATAATTTCAACCAAAAACTCTATCTAATTGTAGATGCTTGGAGTTTAAATTAAATAGTATGACAAGACAGACTAAAACTCTACACTTAATGTGATCATGTTTTCAACTGAAATGACATTCTTATTTTACTCCAAAAATACTGTGTCCTATTTTATTACGTTGGCAATGCTGATGGTATAGCAGTAGAGGTTGAACCTTCCCACCAGTATTCTATCACACGTTGTTGCTGTGTGACAAATGCTAGCAGAGGGGCAGTCTGACAAAATGGCGTCTGATACGGGAGTGCAGATGAAGCAAAGATGTGTAACTGAATTCTTACATACAGAAAAAATGGCACCCACTGACATTCACTGATGGCTGCCGAACGTTTACAGAGCCCAAACAGTGGATGTAAGTGCACTGAAGTAGTGGGTGCATTTCAGCAATACGTAGTCATAGCAGCTGTGAAACAGCAGGTCACATCCACTGGTACAGATTTTTATAAGCACAGCACACAGGCAGTTCACAGCTGGCAAGAATGCATAGCTAACAGAGGCGACTGTTGAGAAGTAGTGTTTAGTAGCTGAGAATCTGTTCTATCGAATTTTGTCACTTTGCTCTTTGTATCAGTTGTAGTTTCCAAGGAAATAAATAGAAGGCATTCCTTTCGGAGCAACCTACATATATGTCAGTTTTATGGTTTATTTTGAATTATTTTCAAGAGAATAAATTTTACAGCTGAACTACTGGCCTTCACTAATGCTAACACTTTACCTTTTGGGTTTCAATGTGCTTCTCTAAGATTTCTTGCTTCTTTTTTCTCACATCTTGTTGAAGTCGCAGTGCTTCCTGAAAACATTAAAAAAATACAGAAAATTTCTGGATTTTGCAAAACAATTTCAGAAGAATATAGCAATAGTTGTATGTCACAACTGTAAAGTAGTAACTTACAATAACAGGAAAAAATAGTAACAAACTCAACCCTAAAGGTAATATTTAAAGCTGTAACTTGGAAAACAAAGTGTCACCAAAAAAGTGAAGAATCTAATGATCTTTATTAGCATAGCTGTATACAATGTAACTTGAAAAGTAAAATAATACGCTACCACAAGATAAACAACATGCAAGAGTTCAAACTTGCAAGGATGGTATCTTGAAAGAAACTGTGAATCTAGCCAATAAATCAACCTCTGCAGTACAGTTCCAGACCAAAAAAAACCATTACCCTCAGAAAAAAAATCTATGTTGCATCTGTTAAAAATAGAATTGTGGTGATGCGATGAGCAAGTCAAAACAAATTGAACCTGATTAATTTGTGATGCACTGCACCCAGAAGGAAAAGTAGGAGACTGCTACAGCTGCTGTGTTCAGGTCTTAACTAATGCTTCTTGAGAGAAAGCAACTGCTTCTTGCTCTCAGATACAGAACGTATCTTCTTCATCTTAGGTACAAGGATAATAGCAGGCGTCTATAAAGAGCCTTGATACCAGCATATTAAATGAGATAAGAGGAGTGGCAGAAGATGAATTTGCACTTCTAGATCACCAATCACTATCAAATTGCAAGTGAATTACCATATACAAAGTGTAAGTGCACAATAGCCACAAAAAAGAAACAGTAACAAGGTCTGTATGTGTATTCTCAAATATTAACAAATTCTGCTGCGTGAAATGTTAGTTTTGCAATATAGTGTGCAATCACTTTTCTGCAAGGAAAGGGAAGATAAGACAAGGGGACAAATGTTCAGAAAAACTAGGGAGACAGAAAGAAGGGAGCGAGTCCCACAAAATCATGTTTTTCGACAAGTGCTAGTATATTATAATGGAAATTTCTGAAGACAGGGAACAGCACAAAAAGAAGCAATAATTTGGCATGTCTTCAATGTTTTCTCTCAGAAAAAAAAAAAAAAAGAAACGAAAAAACCCAATAGACTACAGGTGTTAAGTCAATAATTTCATTCCAAGTGGTTTTGTTTTGTCTTTTTTTTTTTTTTTTTTTTTGCCATTCTACAAGCACTCAGTTTCTTATCCTGAAAGCTAAAGGCTCTGATTCTGAAAAACATGTTTTGAGGGACAAGTATGAAATGAAATCCCCAAATCAGAATTAATCTCTTTAAAGTCTGGTCCAATGTCACAACTGACACGTATCAACAAACCGCAACTTCAAATTATATTAAACATTAGGCTTATATTTGAATATAACCTCGTATTTAATTCTTAATTTACAATTTAAAGCCAGCCAGATAAATACTGTCCTATATCTAGTTTTAATAGAGTGTAAGAATAAAACCAGAATAGGAGCTTTACTGGCTCTGAAAGTCCAAAGCAAGCTAAACTACAATTAGAGCGATTCACTTAAGACCAAATTTAAGGCATTTTTGTTGCACTTTCTCTTCAATATCATGCATAATTAAAAACAGATGCAGGAGAACTATAATTTGGACAACAAAATGCAAAGTCACATCATTCTCATTTTTCAGGTTAATACACAACTGTGATCACTAAAAGTACAAAATGTAACAAGAATAAATGGCCTGTTTAATGAAAATAAAGGTCAGTTCCGGAAAGGCTTAAGAGAGAATACTGACTATACTATACTATACTGCCTTCTCACTCACAATAGACAATAGCCTCAACGTGGAGATTCTGTTTCTAGGAAAAAGAGTTCCACGTTATAAACTACTAGAGTTTTAAATCTGCTTGTACTGCCTGAACATGCACTGAAAAAGTAATAAAACAATAATGAATTTTCTTGACCTCTGGAAAGAAACCATTATAGTAAACTTAATCTTGCAACTAATATTACCTATGCTTGAGATGAGTATATATAATGGACTATCTCTAGTGGTCACAAGTTCCCAATCTAGGTCCATTTTATAAAGAAGTATATTTAATTTACCTGTTTTTTCTTCTGTGCTTCATTAGAGTCTAGCACGGAAGTGGAAACAACAGGCAAAGATTTCTGTGCTGCCTTCAAAGCAGCAGGGTTGTACACAGTTTTTGTCAAGCCAGTAGAAGTGGATAAAACCTACAGAAGGAAATCATTTTATTTTTTTTTTGCCAGTGAATTTCAATTTTTAAAAAATAAATGACTGTATAGAAATACCTAAGCGTATTTTCTTTTGTCTGTTTTGATGGTATGGAATATAAAAATTTGGTGAAATAATTTTATTCGGAGTGGCTGAAATTAAACAACTTTTGAAGAGGCAGCATCACATCAAATATATAAAAATTCTGAATATCAGTTTATAAATTCTTTCCAATTTCGTATTTACTTCAAAGTTCAAAAATGTACAAAATTGTATGTACTTGAGCATAATCAAAGAAGCAGGAGATAACGATTTGCTCAAGAATAAATGATTTTTTTTTCCTTTTATTATTTTTAAGTTCAAAAAACAATTTTATATAGCTGTGTGAATTTTCTTGGCAAAATTCAACGACTAGAAACTAAGGTCCAAAGCAAATAAAATAGCTTATTTTCATAGGCAGTTTCTGCAAAGTACAACTTTCACCATCAATATGAGGCAAGACATACAGGGAAGTCTTGTACACTGTACAGCAAGGAAGACACTCCTATGCCTTACTTAATCCTATATTACATATGAATGTTTCTCCATGACTTACTGAGAGCACAGATGTCTGCTTTACAACCTCTCTAGCATTGACTATTCACTTCTCTACAGTACCACCTGAGGACTTGAAATGTTCTATTTCTTGCAACATTTCCTAAAATACATTTTGGCCATTGATTGGTATTAAAAAAATCCGTGAGTAAGAGTTGGAGATGATAACAACATAATCTTGTCTGCCTTGATAGCAAATCACAACATTTTCAGAAATTAAAAATATCTTATACATATGGAAAACTAAAAGATGCATGCAGAGTCTATCAGTCACCATGCACTCCATAGAACAGATACCATGCCCAAAAACAGAAGAAACAAAAAGGACAGCCAACATTAGAAAGCCAGAAAAGATCGAGAGATCAGAAGAATAACAAGGATGCTTCACATAAAAGATTTTCTTGTAATTGTGCTATTGACACTATTTCTTCCCCACATATAAGATTCTTCTAGAGTTGGTAATGCAGACAGAAAAAGAAGGAAAAAAAAAAATCAAAGCATATTATATATTACAAAAGCTGATATAAAATGATCTAAGCAGGCAATCAAAAGAGAGATGAAATTGTTTTAAAACTAATTAAAGCATGATGCACACCCCAACCACGTTGTTCCTCTTACAAAGTAGCTTTAAGACAGGTCATGCTAAAAAGAGCAGACCAAGTAGAGAACAAAAACAGGGACACATTTCTTTTGCCCTGAACTCTCTTTATGGCAGAATGAACCTCACTTAGTCATCTCCAAAAGTAAGAAGAGATGCTACAGCAGATGTACCTGCATTAACTAATAAAGAAGAGCAAGAAGCGATATGTTAACATCTTACATCTTCTAATGCTACCGAAGAGGGAGAACATTATGAATCTCTTTCTAAGCTCATGAATTGCAAATCCCTATTCAGATTTGAAAAGGTCTCACAATGGCTGTTTCATCACACCTCCCTCCTTCCCTTCCCTCCTTCAAAGGCAAAGATACCTACTTTCTTACTGTGAAGTTCTTGTAATTTTCTGCATTGAGCCAGAAGCAGAAAAAACATCTAGGACATATCTACATTTTTGACAGCTGTCAATTTCTAATGGTCACAGAGCACTGTTAGGGTAACCTAAGCAAGGCATTCTCTTGCAGAAGAGAAGTAATAGGTAAAACAAAGTCAAAACAAGTTTCAGAACTCCACTGCAAAGGAAAATGTTGCTTCATAATCAATCCACTGAACAGCTCAGCAGCTAACCCAAAAGAGTCTGAACGGTAAGATACAGTGGAAAAACCTTTCATAGGATGAATTTACTCTTTGTAGAAAGGTGTTTCATAATAACTCTTACAAGAAGAGAAAAAAAGGAACTCCCACTCAAACTGAAACAAACTTCCAATTTCTAAAGTAGGTACACAGCATCCATGTAAAATGCTGTTCTTTGCAACAAATTTCGGTCAACAAGAATCAACAGAATAAGCCAAGAAGCAAAGATCAGTATGTTTAGGTGGAATGCTTAGCTTGGCTTGACACAAATTGAAATGACATCGGTACTTAAAATTAAACATTAACTTGTTGTTACATTTGTGTGCGTAACATAGCATCGTATTTTTGTAGTTAAGTTTATCATCAGCATTAACCGATAAACTGAAAGAGGAAAAAATGCAGTGGATGCTCCACTCATCATAGGTCAAGCCAATTCAGAATAGAAAAGATACATAACTAGGCACAGGAATCTCATTACTGCGTAAAACTTGCTGCCTCCAAATGCTGTCTCAAATGAATATTATCAATAATGGGGAAGTCCATGCCCTAAGGTGTTAAATAGGTCTGGAAACCAGCATTATTAACTTTACTACAACAGTAGTAAACTCCAGAAACATCAATAACTGTTCTGAAAATTGCTACCACTGGGCAAAATATATAACTCATAACTACTGTACAGATGCCCCTCTCACATCTTACCTCTCTTTGTCCTTTCTGCACTGATTAATTTTTACAAGTACTGCAAATGGTAAGATCAAGTAAGACAGTAAATGTTTACAGAATCAGCTTTTAGGGAACTCACAAGTCCAAAAGCAGTTGTTTGGTGGTTTTATGCTTACGTTTTGCATTTTCAAAAAAATACCAAAATTTATTTGTTAAACAAATGCAGAAATGCATTTCAAAAAACAACTCAGGATCCTGAAGCATTTCTCATCATTTTTGTGACTGAAAAAAAGGATCTACCATATCAAAACAAAAAAATACACCTTCTGACCTAGTATGTTTACTTACCCTCAGTTAATCTGAGATTCTGTATATCATATTCCACAGAACTAATCTTTAACAAATGACTTCTGAAATAAACTGTATATTAACATAAAGGGTTTCATTATTTCTATAATTCTTTTGGAATTGAATGTGAGAGGAAGGCAATACAAGATATTCTCTTACCTTTTCAGTTGCTGGAGTAACTGGCTTTGACACAAAACCCAGTCTATCCTTCACAGATAATTTAGTCACATTCTAAGAAAACAACATAAAGTTATCCTTCAAATATGTTTACGAATACAATAATTTATGGTTTCCTGTATAATTTTGAATGTTAGGAATTTTGAAAAAACAGGTTTACTCAGTAAAGTAAGACTTCTGGACAACAACAAAATCACACCAAAGCTGCTGGAAAATGAATTTGCTAACAGAGCACCTACAGATGCCCTTCTAAGTACATTTCAGTCTCTGTGTTTTTATAAGCTGCTATCTGCAGGCATCATTTGCAGGAAATTGGGGTTTGAATTTAAATTCAAAAATTCAAATCTTTTGAAAAGAAAAAAATGCAGTATTCTTCCTTTTCAGAAGGAAAACTGAAGTAGTAGCATAGTGCTATTTACAATATTTCCATGAAAATTTAAAAGCTATTTCATATGTGAGTATCATATCAGATTCTGCCACAATTCGTATTGGTACAACAGCTTTCTTCATCCTTAAGGGTGATATACGGATATTGAAAATTCTTTCAGATGACCATCTGTCTCATGGGTTTAGTTTAACAGATAAGAAATTAAAGGATAGCTTTTAAGTTCTTAAGATAGAAAGTAACTTCAGTTTGAAACCTGAAAACTGCACTTTAACACAATAAAACATTTTTAGTCTTGTTTTTTAAACCATGGTACTTAATTTTTCAACATAATTTGGTTAAGAAAGCCAAATATCAGTGCACTTAGGAAGAACTGAGACATAGAAACATTGTTCAATCAAACTATATGCACTTATAAGCACTTGATGTCTATTTACACTGTATGAATAACTTCCATTGACAGACTTACTGGCATACATTTATACACTACGAACCTATTACAGAAGAAGAAATATGTGTGCCTAATCTTTTTTGTCTTAATAGATCTTACGTACCTGAGTGACTTCTGTATTGGCACTCTGTGCTTCCGTAGGTTCAATATTACTTGCAGGTACTGGACCTAATCGCTCCTTGACTGATTGTTTCACTACTGGTAAACTCGGTTGTTGAACTAAGGGTTGTATTACCTGTAACACCCCCCATCCCAAAAAGAGCACAAGGCAATATTAGTGACAAAAGACTACTACATATGCAGTCCAACAAATACACAAAATTCCTGCAACAGCATTTAGATTTACATTTTTTCCTACCAATCAATAGCTTTCCATCTGAGAGCAAATATAAACACATCAGGAGATTTGGAATGTTGTACTGACTGTAGTGAACACAGCTATAACAGTTACTTGGCACGTGCAGCTCACAGCAGAGTTTCCATTAATTGCATCTACTTAGACTATCTTAAGGTCCACATAAGAACTGAATAAAAATTGGCCTAAAGTGATTCTCCAATCTATTTTATCAGCCACCTATAGAAAGGCAAAACACAAACCTGTATCATAAAGATTCTCACTTTTTACACTAATACATCATTCTTTACCTTCTAAAAGGATGACCAGAAGACTAGTGGGACTGAGAAGATAGAACAGAACAGCTGATCTTTGAATATACTGACAGCTATCAACTTTTAATTTGACAAAAAATATTAGTTAAATAAGACAAAAACAAAACAAAACACCCTGATGCTTCTGACTAAGCTTTTCATCCTATTTATGGAAAAAAAAAACAAAACAAAAACAGAACTAGAAGAAATCATCCAGAGGTCACCTAATCCATTCCTTCACTCCGGAGCAACGTCAGCTACACGTGAAATAATTTAAGAGAACCTATACTAACTGTAGCTATGATATCAAATAATAATTTAAATAAAATAAAATTTAAATAATGTTCACCTCCCCCAAAAAAAGCTTACAAATTAAAAATATATATATTTATTCATTCAACGATACGATTTTTTTTTTTTCTTATTTTGGTGTACAAGAACATGAAAGTCCTACATTCCAAATTTTAATTCCCTGTTTTCACATTTTTTGTCACTGACCACATGCCTCCATCTTCCACACTAGACTGTGAATTGCAGTTTCTTGACACAGTACGTGACCAGACATCTGGAGGAACTCTGTCAAACCACCAAGATTTACATGTCAAAGAGGGCGCACTGGGAAACTAGTGACTTGACTAAAAACTCCTAAGAATACCTACAGCTGTATATTTGTGATTTTGCAAAAATGATACAAATATTTTATTTCAAGTAACATACCAGATATTTGGTTTTCAGTACATTTTACACTGTAAATTGGATGACATCAGCAAATAAGCCGATGGCAGTGACTTCTCAAGCTATCCTATTTGAGAGAGCCCGTCTGTACTCATGTAAATTATATACTGCACTGCCCTCTTCTGGCTGACTGTATGTAAGGAAAGCTTAGAAAATAATAATGTTGAGTTATAAAGCTTCAGATAAAGTAACAAATGTATTTATAAATGAGAGCTCAAACTCAAACCTAACGGATGTCACTGGGAGATAGTGAGGTGGGTCTTCACCCCATAAAAGTAGTTTTAGTATGCAACACATTTGTTACAAAATAAGGGGACAGAAGAAACTATTTTGTAAAATGCCCTTTAGTGGAATTGCTCTGGAAAATTGGATGATGATGACATATGCCATCAAGAAAAAGAAAAGAATTAAAACCTTAAAGCAGCAGTTGAAAAACTCCTGTAGTAAGTCACCTGTTTATTAAATAATTGTATATAACATCAATATTTCTTCTAGAAAGGTTGTGTCATTTTTTACTAAGTGTAGAACATACTTTTCCACATTGATAGCAAATACATTAAAGGTAGGATACAATTACAAGGGAACTGCTATGCTCTATGCTAACTCGTAAGATTCTCCATCCATGATCTGGGAGAATCCAAGCTGCCCCTTACGTTTCAGTGGAACCCCTAGGCATGTTAACGCATCCAACTTGGCTTGTAACAGGTTATGAATCAAAGCTCCATAGCAGTACTTAGATTAATATTCTTAAAAACTTGTCAGTGCTGTAACTAACACTTCACAACCACCAAGAAGTGCTCCATTATGTGAGTCAGTCCAAAAATGTAAAATACCCCTATCTGTTCCCACAAAATTAGCATAATTTTGCAAATTCCACTGTGAAAGCATTTCCTCTCTCTCTCTACATATATATAAAACGTATAGATATGTATTTAAAAATATAGACATATTTGGGTAAAATGAACTCTACTGCTACCTTCTATAGCTGTATGCAAGTTGAAGAGGAAAGGAAAACAGACTAGAAAGAGCAGCATCTTTAGGAAAAAAAATGGAGATTGTCTTCCAAGAAAATAAATCTAACTTTTACCATCTGTCTTAGACTCACCAGAAGAAAAAATAAAGAAAAGCCTACGTTAGTTAAAGTAAAAAATACATTATTCAGACATCAAGCCTCATTTACATAAGATATAGCTGTATTCTCCTTAAGTCAGACAAGGGTTTTCTTTCAGTACCTCCCAATCATACTCCTGAATGTTCTATCTGAATTCAAAGAAACAGTTGAAGACTGAATTTGGAAATGAATGACATCAAGTATTCCATATTTTAAAAGTATTTGGCTTACTTCTTCTACAAACATTTAAAAATAATGTTTAGAAGTAATTATTTTAAATAAAATTGTAGATAGAACAGACTTAGATCCTCTACCTTCTGTGCAGTAGTTTGGATTTGTGGTGCACTTCCTTCTCGATGCCAGTAAACTTTGATAAAACGATTATTTAATACTGCTTCTGTACTTGATATCGCTTTCTTGGCTTCCTCATGTGTGGCAAACTGAATAAGGGCACCTTCTGGATCACCTTGATATGCAACCTAAGAGTTAAAACAGAAGAACAAAAAATATACAGCATGCAGAATTTTTGTTTCTGTCACAATTACTACAGAATCATAGTTCCAGAGACTCCAGAGAAGTTTACAATTTAAATTCAATATGGGTCAGCAGATGAACATTTCCCATTCATGATTCATGGGGCCCTGGGCAGTCTGGTCTAGCATTAGGTGGAATGGTTGGTGGCCCTGCACGTGGCAGGGGGTTGGAGATTCATGATCCTTGAGGTCCCTTCCAACCCTGGCAATTCTGTGATTCTGTGATTCTGCTTGAAACTTCTGGTATCAAGAAGAAACCTTGAGATTACACTAACAAGCTTTAATACACGTAAGTAACAAATCTCAACAGTCAAACAGAATTTCTAAACGCAAATATGCGTAGCTGTTTGAAAGATGAGGAAGAATCACTGGAATTGAGATAACTGATGTGAACAAACACAGTGTCATAGTTAGTATCAGAACTAAAAGTTCAATTTAGTTTTCCTCCTTTGGATACAAACATATTATATCAGATACCTTCAAAGAATAAAATTACATCTTCAGGAAGATGAGCACAGATGGCAATCTCTGCCCCTCGACACCCTCTTTTTCACATCATCATACATCCATACTTATGGAAAAGGAAGAAATATTTTAAAAAAATTAAAATGTTTTACATAAATTACGTTAGAAGTCTTATCCGTAGGAGAAAACTAAAAACTTTGTAAACTAAACTTCGTTCAAACCTAAATAAGAACTGGAACATTTCACTTCTGCTTCATCAATGACAATTTCATTAAAACTGGGAGATTATGCTTAAGAAACGAGATAGAAAAATAAAAAGAGCAGTTTCAGAAGATTAGTTACAAAGTACTCGGCATTCTCCTTTTAGTAAGTGCTGCCAGCATTAAGCCAAAGCATATTTCTCTTCTGTTTATTGACTCCTACCTGCAAGTTGACCAAATTTCCAAATTTACTGAAGTGCTCATTAAGTTTGCTGATATTGTTAAGTTCTGGAGGAACTTTCCTCAATTCAAGTTTTGTGTTTTCATTTCCAAACTGTACTTTCTTCTGGAAACCTGGGCTATTTGTTCTGTTAAAATTTTGCCTGCAACAAATAAGAAACAAGCTAGAAAAGCACAGTAAGCTACCAAATACAATGTAAAATTTTATATGCTTATACTGGATTGCATGTGTCACACAGACAGTCTGGCAGATGAATAAAATCAAATCCCATACGATTTTAGAAAAGCGTGGAAGGGTGCAGTACACAGGCCTCTATATCTGCATTTGTGCTCACTCATACTCTCACCATACCTCACCACAAAAAATCTCTAACGTAATTCATTATATTTTGATTGTGTCAGTAACTCCTAACTATCCCACAGTAACTCTCTCCAAATGCTAATGCTTCTCAATCATTCCCCCTGAATCTCTTCACCACCATCACAAATTCCTAATATTTCTAGGCTCTCCACAACCACAGCAATGTCTTAAAATCCCTTCCAACATTTTATCCCAGGTATATCTGGACAGTGAGCACCACATTCCACATTCTATGTCAGTTACATACCTGGCAACTCAATCCAAAATGGCAATGATAAAATTAAAAACTAAATCCAGGCATCTCTAGTAAGTATCATATGGCAAGGCTCTGTATCTTACGTCATTTCAGGTTTCAGTGAGCAAATTTAATCCAGAGCAAACCTAGCTATCTATGCAGTGTCTCTGAGAGACGACAGCCAATTACAGTCCTCTCTGTAATACGATTTATTTTAATACAGTCAGTTTACTCACACTTTAACTTGCTTGCAATTTATGTAATTTATATATATTTCAGAATGCAGAAAAGATCTCCACTGAACTGCAACTATTAAGCCAACCTTGTGTTAATGACCACTCACTTGTCAAACCAAGTCTTCTTTGTAGGAACTCCACCATCTCCTGCACCAATTGTTCTTTTCCTGGATTCAGCATCTACCACTATTCTCATACTGCTTTTATTAGGAGGTTTTTCTGTAAACAGATGAAAATGTTAATTTTTGTATTTTCTGTTTGCATTGAATTTGCACTGAAAAAACACAACTGATCCTTGTTCAAAAACTGCATCAAATCTTGGTTGCAGACTAATCTTCTTAATCTTAACTATCAACATCTAAAACATCTAATAGCTTTCATTTTGTCCAATTAACACCATACAAAAGAAAAACAAAAGAAGGGTGACAGAAAGCATCTGCCTCCATTCACAATGTCCCATACAGTATCTTGAGATTTGCACCATTTTTTGCTAATACCTCCATTTTTCTATTAGATGGCACACACAAAAAATGTTTACGATAGGAAACGTAGGATACTCCAGAACCCTGATAACTAGGAACAAGATAGTGGGGTAAGGGGGGAAGGAAGTGGCTCTTTCTGAAGAACAGGAATCATATAGGGGGAGGGGAAGTAGACATTTTATCTGCTAAAAAACACACAAACTAAGAATAAGAAAAATTCCCTGTTTAAACTTTTCTTACCTACAAAAGGTATTTTAAAAATGCAACATTTTCCAGTATTTGATTCTCTGAAAAGTTCTTCCATTTACATTAATGTAAATAGAATTACAAAACTAACTAAAGTAAGTATAGCTTTGAGAGCATACCTCTGGGTGGTAGATCCATATCACCTGATGTGAGTCCTATCAAATTTGGTCTTTGAGCATGTACTCTATGTCTATACATAGGTCTGGAAGTGTTTGTTATACTTGGAGCTTCTGGATTATAGCCATCTGTGTCATACGTTTCTGGTAACAAATAAATTGTCTAATTAAAATAAATTGTAGTAAAAAAAGGTTGCAAGTGTTATATTTCAAATAATTACAAGAAACAGTTAAAATGGAAAAGTCTGTTGTATAACTATTATCTTAAAAAACTATCATGATTATTATTATTACAATTAAAACAGTATTTCATAGTCAAGATTCAAATTTTACATGCATTTTTTTTTTAATTCTGTCTTGAATTAAATTAGAAAAAAAAGTGTTAAGTAACTGTCACAGTCTAAAAATGATACAATCATCTAAAACTATGAAATTATCTCTAAACACACTACAGTATGAATCAATGTTATTCTATTTAGCAAACCTTGTGGGCAAAGCCTCAGTACTACACCTGCTGTAAAAAGAGAGGGTGGAGCAGGAGGCGGCTGGTGATGAATACCCGTTGTAACAACAGTAGGAACTGAGCTAGTTGCTGAATTTGGGGGAGCATCCATGCCAGCAGGCTGCAGTGGGGGAAGAGGAGGGGGTGGTCCTGAGGAAAAGAAAAACAATGTGTTACTTATTATCCACTATACTTACTTTACGCTCTACTAACTCATATTGAAATTGATCTGAAATGTTCTTAAGACTATTAAAACAAAAACAAAAAAACCCACTAATTCCTATGAAACCACTTCCACTGGCAGAAGGCTCTTAATTCAGATCACAGACAAAAGCATTTCAATACTCAACATTCTTCCTTTTTTTTTTCTTCTTCTGTAAACCACAATCTCATTCCAAATCCAGTATTTATCTTCACCAACAGAATTTCTTTAAAGTTGCATAAAACTTCCTCAGAGAAACAAATTCTTTAGTATCATCATAATAACACTGAGCTTATTTATTTCTACAAAAGCTAATGTGACTCTTTAAAAGCTAACCAGTCAATGCTGGCCTTCAAATTCATTATTGGTAAAACGCATTTTGGAAAAAGTCACAAAATCATGTATCTGGACATCCCAGACAGATCTGTAAACATTAACTGAAGCAGAACTGATCATCCCAGCAAGACAGTTACTCTCTATAGTAAGCAAAGTAAATAAATTCAGTTCTTAAGCAAAGATACTATTAACTGAAAATCAAGTTTAAGAAACAAGTAATATCAAATGCCAATTATTCTTGAGTAGTTTTACCAAGTGGAACATTTAAGTTAATTAGAAGGAAAAGAAAAAAGAGATAGGCACATAAAATTAACACATCACAGTTTTTAAACCATGTAAAGAATATGAACGCTAAATTGCTATTTAAAAAATGACAGCTAGGACACAAGTCTTTAAATAATTTTTAGTGCTTGAGTCAAAGCATTTTGTAATGAATGAGTAAATACACAGGAGAATTTTGTTTAGGTTCCAAATTCATGACAAATTATGTTTTTATTTGTAGGTGTTATTTTAGGTTTATTTTTAGGTAATTTTAGTACCACAAATGAAATGACCAGCAGTTGTTCGTTTCCAGGGTTTTCCCTTCTTCTCTAACAGTAGTCATTTTTATACAATTTCTCCAAGTAAACTCAAGAAGTTGAGTTTTGCTATGCCATGCCATGCTTTTGCATAAACACAACTGAAATATTAAGATTCACACTTTATATGCAAATTGTACAACTGGCACTGCAACAACTGTCATAAAAAACAACACTGAGATCATCGTACAGTTTTTTAAAAACATAACCAACATTCTTAAAACACCTTTTTGCACTGCACGTTTGTTTTTTTCCTAAACTACCTGTTACAGGTGGAAGGCTAGGTGGTAAGGGGCCTGGTGGTGGTACTGGAGGTCTAAGGTTAACAGGAGGAGGACTCAGAATTGGTGGAGGGGGAGGAAGTCCAGGAGGAGGTGGTCCTTCAACAACAGGGGGTTGTGCTGGAAAAGGCAGAATGCCAGGAAGATTCACATCTTCTACCACTACTGGATCGCTTCCATGATCAAAAGGGCACATATCTCCTCTCATACAGAAACCCTTTTCTGAAACATCAAAAACAAGAAGAATTTTTAGCATTCAAGAGCTTTATGTACAGCTTCAGTAAATGTTACAAACACAGAAATTGAAAAGTTAAAGAAAAATATTAATTCCACAGAGGGACACTACAAAATGTGAAACTGAAGACGGGAGGAGAAGCTGCAATAAGCTAGCCAGTAAAGATTAGAGGACAGCTATATCATAGTACTTCATTGGGAAGCTATTTGCTTCATACACAAAAAACTGGAAATAACAAGCTGCTATAAGATGATCTTTTAAAGATACAAAGATTCAGTCACGCTTGGAGATGTTATTTTAGAGGTATATCCATCTGCACATTCTGAACCTTTCTCAAAATTCTGTAGAAGTATAGACCTCACCACAACACTCTGCAGCTGAGCTTGCATTAGAAGAAAACTTCAAAACAGCTACACTTTTACAACTATGCATTCCCATGAGCGAAAGCTGCAAAACGGAGACTACCTTTTTCTTAAAGAACAAAAAAACCAAAAAAACTCCTACATTACTATTTTAATCAATGTTCTAATATAAACTGACTTAGATCTCAGACTTGTGATATACAGGAGGAAAAAAAGTCTCAGAAAAATACATTGGAGGGAAATCATATTCTGTTAAGAGGTTGACTAGCTGGATTTAGCTAAGTCAGCACAAGTTGCAGTAGTCTCTTCCACTGATAAGACATGAAAAAAGACAGCCTAAGATCTAGGTAAGCACAAAAAAGTACTCAATTTTAAGAAATATCTAATCTGTAAATAACAGTTTAACATTGAGTCTTCTAGTAAATTAATCTGTCTTAGGATGGAATAAAATCAATAATTGATGACATCGGTGAGGTTCTAATTATGGCTAAAGCAATCAAGTATAATATTTGGTTTAAACAAAAGATAAAACTCTTCTAGTATTTATATAAAAATCAATACAATAGCCTTTATCCATATAAAATAAATCTAATAAATAAAAAGAAAACACAGAAGCACTAACAAAAATATCTAAAAGGTAAGTCCTTAAAGAGTGGGATAAATATGCATTCAAAAATTATTATAGAAAAAAAAAACGGTATTAAGGAAGAATGTGGAAAAAAAAATGACCTTTATCTTTCAAGAAGGGAGCCTGTTACAGCTGCAGCAAGTAATTAAAAAAACCTAGACTTACCATCATAATCTCTACAGCGTTTCTTTGGCAGTGGAGGTCTTCCATAGGAGTTGTGGTCCAGCTGCTCTTCATGGAATTCCGACCAGCTTTCAGTAGTGTTATTTCCATGATGAGCAGGAGCAATAACAGTAATAGTGCTGCTCAGTGTAGGGACAGGATAGTGGCCAGATGAAATATTTGTTACAGAAGAAACTGGAGTATAATTGTTTTCTAATGGATCTGTTCTATCCATATCATATTTTGGCTTTCCCAAGTCCCTTTCTGAAAAGAAGAGGAGAAAAAAAAGTTAATTGGATGACTGTGTACATTTTCACCAGAAACAGTGAAAGCATTAAGTTTATTTACTCAAAGTCAATAAATCTCAAAATATGAAAATAGTAACTGGAATGTTCTACTCATTGCCCAGAGCTGAGCCTCCACAATTACAGCTGTTCATAAATTGACGGAATAGAGTCCTGAGTAACATGTTCCCCTTTGTCTGCTTTGAGAACAGTTACTAGACTAGGACTAGATGTTTTTCAGGGGCCTCTTCCAGCCTCAACTATACCATGATTCTACATTCATTCTACATAATCGGGGGGGGAGGGGAAGGAATCTTAAAATTACATAGTCAACCACCAGGGTACACTATATCCATAATAAAACATAAAGTTTATTTAACTTCAAGCATAGTAAATCATCTGTAGCAAGCCATATATTCTAAGAACTTCATTTGGAAAGCTATCCTCAATAAAGGGAAACAACAACAAAAAGTAATCACTACTTGAAAATATCATAAAAGTGATATATCTTTAATGTTTCAAGACACTCTATTACTGTTGTAGCTTCATGTTGTTAATATTCATTTTGTCTGCAACCAACTGCACGTGCTGAATCAATACAAAGTCTCGTCATGACTGGAGAAATAATAATACTTGACAGGTGTGGAAAACTCCTGGACATATATAGCAGCAGCATGATTTATTACTCTAAATACATACTAACTATTCTCTTCGTTTTCTAACGTTACCATCAACTAAGCAACAAGCAAAAAGATGAAGACAGTAGAATCTTGTCATGATGTAAGCTAGCAGACTCAAACAACAGCACATTAAAGAAATATTAATAAAAACGTCCTAAAAGTGGCAGACAAGTATGGGTAAAGCAGGTATTTCCTTATGTTCTTAGAAACAGGAAAAATGGTTTTATTGTAGGACACTAACTGTAAGAAATTACAATTGTAGTAAAATATTCCTTAAAATAAGATTTAATCACACTGCAATATAGCTATAGAACTTATGAAATAAGCTGATCGAAAAATTTATGCTTGCTAATTTTCAGGAGCTCTGCATTTCTGCTTGTGAGACCATGCTAGCAAAGCCCAATCACAAAGAAAAATAATAAATAGGAGATCTACACAATAATATCTCAACTTCTGTATTCTTTAAGTCAGGATAAAGAGATCATACAACTCCTAATGCAGTTTTTTAATTTATCAGTAACAACTATAAGGGAAAAGCATTCATTTCAGATGAAAAAGCTTTAAAAAGAAGCTTAATTTGAAGAGCAAAACTACTGTACTGAAAGAAGACTGAAGTCCTACAGCAATGTAAGTTAATGCACATATTTACTATAGTAATTTCAGCCTCTTTCCAAGACACCAAAGAGGGAACAACACAAAAACAGACCTGTATTCTGTTGTTTAACAAGCAATTTGCTGACAAACTGGTAGTTTCCACCAGTCCTACCTCTGTAGGTAAGTATTAATTTCTGCATATTCCAATATCAGATACTGAGTTTCCCTAGAACTTAAGAAAACGCAATTAACTTGGATTTTTCTGCCTTTTCTGCCTGTCTCACAACGTTTAGAAGTGGCCAACACAATCAAAGGTAATAGAGAAGAACTGTGGGAAAGAAGGGAAAATAAGAACTGAGAACATAATCACATAAGTTTTATATCCACAGTAAACAAAGCTAAAAGTTAACAATAAAACAAGAGCATCAATAGAAATTTTAGTACATCTTGAACAGAGTGTTTTAGTCTAGTGTCTAAATTTTGTAAGCAGCATTCACCGTATTTTAGAGACCAACTGTTGGTACCTCTGCTTCGTGTTCTACTTCGGCTTCTGCTCCGGTCTCGATCCCTGTCCCGCAGTCTCTCTTTGCTCCAGCTCCTGCTTCGACTCCTGCTGTAGCTTCGACTTCTCCCTCTTCTTCTGTTATATCGATCCCTGTAGGAATCTCTTCTGGGAGGATTTCGGTCATAATCTCTCTTCCGAGAACGTTCATCTTTTTTCCTTTCATCGCGGCTTCTAAACATGTAATTTTGTCTATTGTTACTTACAAAAATTAAAAATCTAAAAATACAGCAATGGTAAATGACATAAAAGGCAAAAAACTATAGTTCTTTTCTCATCAAAATCCTTTTATTTGGTTTATGCATCCTACTTTCATCATCCTGAACATTTTTAAATGTAAAATATTGATTTTGCCCCAAAAT